CAGAACCCCTTTGTGTGAGTTGGCCTCAAGGACTGTAGAGTGCTTTTCCCTGCTCAGAGACCTCCTGTGCCTGAGGTGGTTCACAGATGAGGCTCAGCAGCTGTGCTATCACAGGGCAAAGACAGCTTGAGCACAAGCTGACATTGCTGCCTATGCAAGACACTTCAAGGGCCCTAATGTATTTTCTCTGTGGACCTATCCACACATTAAACACATACTTCTCTGTAACACATGTAGGTGCCCCACCTACATGATACAGACTGTATTTTTTTTCTTATCTAACTCATTGTGGGATTTTTGTTCATTTTTTCAGGCTTTTTTTTCTCTCTACTTGAAATGACTCCCTGACACATTTCTCTTGCCATTGATTTTATTCTCTTGCTTCCAGTAGAAGCAAAATTTCAACCAATTTTGTAGTTCTTTCCTTCCATAATAATAGCTGATGTGGCAAACAGTGTCCACACAGCTCTGACAGTATGGTTTAAATTGCATGACTGCAAAGATTTTCAGAAATGGAAGTTCGCATATTGTAGCTGTAACTTAAAGGCTTTTTTTTCAGATTTTATTTTACTGTTTCCTGGCAACAGACTCTTTTTTTGCCCTCATCTCTCTTTAGTAGGTACTAAGTTTTGGGAATACATTTCCAATCATTAAATAAGTGAAAGTTAGTGCAAAAAAATGCCTAGGCATTCTTTTTAGAACATTATATTATTAAATTAATTTGTTCTCTTTCTTGTGTATCTTCTCATCTAGAGTACTTCTTATGTACTGTAGCTTCCATATCTTTAGCCAAAGGCAAAAGCCTAACTGATGTCTTGAAAATAAATAATTGCTGCTCTCTGGATTAACTACATCTCATCAGGAAATAGTCTTACAAATACTGATAGGTATTAAATCTAAATGCTCCTGGATAGTAAATTTATATAAAGGAATAAACCAAAGTACGTCAAAATTTAGGTTCAGGGAAAAGCATAAAAGCATCCACTATTTTATTGTATAGGATATGTCTACATGCACAGTGTTTGATGTCCTGCTTCTTTAAATGTTGACTTGTGCTTTCTCTCTCTTTTATATATATATATATATATATATAATGATCCTTGAGGAAGGAAGTGTATTGTGTGCAAGGCCTATACTAGGTCATATCAAAGGCCCAGGAACTTCAGTATATTAACTCTGTCAATGACTGTGAACCATTTTCTAAGGAGGAATAAAATCAGGACAAACCCATACTGACACCTGTTCCTACTACTGCATCCAATATCTGCATCTCACTGACTTCCTGGGCAAGATGTTGTTCCACTCAGTGTAATGAGGGTTTGAAATAAACATAGATGTAATTTGAAGCCCAGTTTTTTTACCATTATTGTTTAAAATGCTTTTGATATAAGGGATAATCAGCATCTTTATTTTGAGCATAAATATTTTTACTTTATCTGTGGCTGAAAAGCAAAAAGCATAAACTGTAATTGTGTTATTAAGCACAGTCTGAGGCCATTTCAAAATGAGGTTTTCATTACCATAACAGAGCTACTGCTACTCCTTTGTCTAGAGTACACTCTTTTGTTGGATGTGTCATTAGAAGTTGGGCAAACCGATCATAAAAATCTTCTTCCCCTTAGAATGTATTTCAGCACAGACTATTTCACATTCCCACTCTGTGTTTTGCTGTATCTACACGTGTCCATTACTGTGAAGTACCTGATCACATCTACAAGTAGTTTTCAAGCTTTTGAACTCTCCCAGGTCTTTTAATGTATTAGTTGCATTCAGATTTTCTGTACTAATTTTATTTTTGTATTCTGGTGCATGGGGTTTTTAAAAAAAAAACCCTTGATGTTCTCTGATGAACTGCTGGGTTGTCTTTTATAATAAATTTTTCCTTAAAAAGAAAGGATGAAAGACATGTATTAACCTTTCCTGATGAAAAGCAGCAGAGACCATAGAGTATTTCCCCTCTTATGCCCGAGTATCTAAGCACATAAATATGCCCTTGTATCCTCCTTGCTTTCACAGGACTAGACATCAGAGTAAAGTTACTCACCTCTGCTTCCAAGACTGCTTTTTCGTATTCATCACTCCAGGGCTGGTTGGAACATTTTATATGTTTGGGAAGAAGAAGAAGAAAGAAATTAATTTCAATAATCTCTGGAATCCTAGCATCTGTCCTCCTGTATGAGTGCACTGGCTTCTCTAGCCATCTTTTTTCTGTGTTTCAAGGATACACAGCTCTGTTTCCCAGGACATGTTACCTTTTTACAAGTAGGAATGGCAAATCCACACCTTGATTCCAGTTCTGTCTGTAAGTCAAGGTCAGGGCACTCCACTGGGCTGTGTCCTGGGAGACCATCTCAGCCTGGCAGTGCTAAGTGCAGTAACAGGAGCCACAGGGAGCCAATGCCAGCTCCTGATGTCCTCTACTCCCTTGCAGTTGCTGAACTGCCTAATTTCAGGGCCTGTGCTAACCTGTGCACACCACTCTGACACTCCTCTCTCTCTCTAAGACTGGGGGCTGTGTTCAGCTCTGAAAGCCCCCCTATCTGAAAAGCATCACTCTATCTAGCATCTTTTTGTGAAGCAAACCCTAACTATGTTTTCAACTCTTAAAGTAGAGAAATGCAAGTTAAAGACATTTTAAAGGCTCTTTGCAGTGTCAAACATGTTGCTGTGATTTAGCAAAGTATTTGTGCCAACGTATGGTATCTCATGAATCATTCAAATAGCTAATAATGGACAATCTGTATTCTGTAGTTTGATCAGAGATTTATTTTTTTGCAATTCTTAGGGATGAAATGTGAACTCTGCTGGTACAGACTGTGTCTCATCCTTGTCGATAATAAAGGAGCTAAAAAAACTTCAGACATCTCATTAATTTAAATTTCCTGGAATCAAAAATAAGGTGAAGGCTTTTCATTATGCATGAAAAAAACTTAGCATCCATTTCTTATTCAGTTGACTTGTCTTTTCTGCTGAACTGATTTTGTGATGGGTTGACCAAAATTCCTGTACACCAGGAATCCACCAAAGCTGCCCTATTACTACCCATCCTGAGCTGGACAAGGGAGATTGATACTAAATTGTACACATCCTAGACAGCAAAATTTAAAAATAAAAGCAAACAGCATCTGGACAGTATTTTTTATTTTTGGTCAGAGAGTTTAGTCAAAACAGGAGGAACTGTGCTGTGTGCAGTTACAGACCCTTTTCTAGTGCCTACCCTAGCCACAGAATTTCCTCCCAAGAAGTGAAGGCCCTGGGAGATGTTGCTTCTGTTTCTATACAAAATCATTTTGCTGTCATTTCCACACAAAATGCACCATTTTATCAGAATAAAAGAGCAAGAAGCTGTTCCACATATAACTTTATATATCAGGTAACTGTTCTCTTTCCCAGCTGGTACAGTCAAGTTCTTGTTGGGCCCAGGTTTGTTGCTTCCTCCATTTATGTCCACAGAGTAGTCTGGCTTGCACCTCCCTGGGAAGTCATGCTCAGGGAAAGAGGGCAGAGAATCGTGATTCACTTTGACAATGCCATAAAACTGAAACAACAGTTCTGTACACACAGAAGATACCTAATTTACATCATGCCTTTAGGTTCATAACTCAGGAATCTCTAAAATTTCTTTCAGAATGTTATACATAGATCAATTTATTTTGTTGATCAATTTGTATTTTTTGAAAGTGCAGCCAAGACTGTATTGTCTGCAAATACCTGCACAATCCTCTTAATTCTCAATGCCACTATGAATTCAGAGGTTTCATATCCAATAACATAATTTTAACTACACTTAAAGCTATGTAATCATATATTACTGGAAGTTTCAATGTCATTTTACTATGGAAAGCTATTTCTACAGACAGATGAATTTAAACCACTAAAAATAGTAATAAAAAAATATATCTTTTGTTAGATTTATTTGAATAATTGTGATTTATACCAAAGAGGTATAAATCACAATTAGGAGATATCTAATTAAGCACAGAAGTTAAATCATGGTGTAGGTTTTATTCCAATGGGCTCATTCCCATTCTTAAAGCAAGTCATGGCAGTATAATTCAGATGATCCTATGGTGCTGTTTATAAAATTATTCCTAAACATGTCCCTAATAGTCAGTTCCTAATTGTTCAGATCATTTTCACAGAGAAACTTCTGCACTGGATTATCATCTGTGTTTTCCCTGCAATGCTGTAGAGGAGCGCAAAAATCATCTCATGGGCTTCCTCTTGAGTATGGTCTTTCAAATTGCAGCAGTTGCAACAACTATGTAAGCTGGTGTAAGCTCTGTATACTCCCTCAGTATTGACCTTCATACAGCTGGAATTTTTAGTAAATTTTAAAAATAATATGGGGATAAAAAATATGACAAACCACAAGCTAGAACTTGCTGGAGTCTACATCTCAGTGACATCTATCTTGAGTTATCATACTTCCTTACTAGAAGTAGGAATGCATCTTCATGTTTCTGCTGCTGTTCAAGTTGCCAGTGATAGCATAATCTATTGACCTTCCTCTTTTCTCAGCCCTCTGAATCAGAGTAAAACATGGCTGGAAATTGTAAAGCTCAAAAAAAAAAAGCTTTAATCTTCCTTTTCTCTCCATGTTTCTGTTGTATAAGATATTGTCTAAGAAAATTTCCTTTCCTACTCTGTGAACTTTGTGTCAATAGTGTCTCTGAGGATACACTAATATTAATATTCACCTGTTTCTTACGAGAACAAGAAGGCCCAAGTTTGTAATTCTTTGTTGATCTAAGTGCCAGTTCTTAGTTTTATTTTATATCCTTTTATTATTGTAAATGCATTAGGGTAAATTTCTTGGTCTTTGTCCCGTATTGGCATTTCAGATGTTGACGTAAATGTACTGAGAGAGGAAACATCTGGCACTTGGTGATCTGACTCCTTGCAGCAAGATTTTTTAAAAAATCTGCACACTCCTTTCTTACCCTTGGAAGAAATCAGTAGGTTTTATTTGTGCAGAAGTGGCTAAGTGTCCTCAGCACAAGATTTAAGCAACCTTTAATTTTCTACTCAGGAGTGCATTCTTGAGGTCAAGAGAAGTTTGCTTCAGCTATTGCTGACTAAATTTCATCTTTGAGGTCACGGTGTGGAATGGTTGGGATCATGAGATTTATCCTGTATCCATTGTGTACCTGAAAAATAACGAGGAAAGTCTCTTACCAAAGTTAATTTCGTCCACAAGTTTCATTTGCAGCCAGATGGCCAAAGTTATTCCACCCATTACTGAAATGATAACCATGAAGTGACACTTTTCTACCCATTCTGAAAGACAGCTCTCTTATCACCAATCTCCTGAAACTTGTATTACTTATTCTTTACATTTGTGATTGTATGTATAAACTTACTTAATATATTGATGAATGGTTTACCTGTAAGTGCCACCCATGTTAGGAGAATCCTTATGAGCTGCACTGGGATAACCCAACAATATTAACAGCTGAAGATCATAGTGCAGAAATGAATCTCAAAGTGGAGGTGTGGAGAAATAATGACCCTGTCCCCCCTTCACTCTTTTCCTCAATTCAGCTGTGACAGTTAAGGGTCTATTTAATTAACTTCTGTGTCAAAAAACCTCCAAAACACTTATTTCATAACACACTGAAGTAGCAAAGAACTGTCTCTTGATTTATATTGTTATTCAATACATATTCACACCCAGATTACATTAAAATGAATTTATTAGTGAAATTAGTGTTCTGAAATGTGAGTCCAGGAGGTACAACCTCCAGGTGAGTTGGTTTAATATCAAGCAGAGTGATTTCTTTAAGCTGTATAAATAGTTAAGCTGTCAGTGTCCAAACCAATGTAAGCAGTTATCCACTTTGAGCCTCTGGGAACGGTGTGGGGGCATAAATCATCTCTCTTAGGAAAAGCAGTTGTGTAACTGGATTTTTAATTTTTACTGGAAAATGAAAACACCAGTACTTGTAGGAAATGCCCTTCATTTTTATCATTTGGATTTTTCTTGGACCAGCAGACAAGTTATTCTGTGTCACAGTGTAGTATCAGAGCCTTCAGCTACTCAAAGCTGTAAGAAAATGCTCAATACTTCACAGTATTTTAAACCTTTTCTTAAAATATTTTCTTTTCACATACACACTTGATTGCCTCAATACAAAATATTTGAAAAGTAGCTTAAAAATAATGAATTGTTTTGCTGGAGATGATTGAATTGTTGATAATAGTCGCTATTGCTATAATGCTATTACGTTGATTGATAATTTTACTTGGAGGGTAATGTCATTATCCCAATCTGCTTTACAAGACAACTTTGTAATGGTGAAAGTTAACTTTTGATCGTGGTTTATCGTAGACTCTACTGCCTGATATTTAGAAAATAACCTGTTGAAATGTCTGAAAGTTTTCTACTTAGCTATATAATCTAAGTTTATTTATTTCGAGTGACTGAATTAAAGAAAAAAGTAATTCAAGTTAATTTTTTAGAATATCTGTGTACTTTTTTAACTTTTCTATAAATTTGACTTGTTCTAGATGAAATTTAAAAACCTGAAGTAGAAAAAAACTTCTCTTGATAATTTTACTTTCATCTGGCTCTACTTTGGAGAAATTATATAAGCTTAAAAATTATTTCTTTGCAAAATATTTTCTTACAAGTAGTGATTTCCTAAGGATTTTTAATCTTATAAGTAGATGATATGCAACTTTTCAGTCTGTCATGTTTTTCTCAATTTTCTAATGTTACAAGTTCAACTAACAATGAAGGTCACTTGTAATCAAAGGTAATGAAGGAGAAAATTAACTTCTCTTTTATTCAGAATATGCCTCCTTTGTATATATGGTTTATAGGAAGATTACTGTGTGCATTCAATCATTTTGCATTCTGATTTATGGTATATTTTTACAAAAGAAATGGGGAAGAGGGAGAAAATGAGAAAATAAATGGTACAACTGCAGATACTACCTGAAGGAATTAGACTAATATTGTAGCTAGAGGAAATTTTTTTGTGTTTCTTTTCCTTTCTAGAAATACCACTAAGATTTCAAATTCCCATTTCCTTTTAAACTATTCTATATTTCAACATTTTATGTGTTCTTCCAAAAGAGTTTTCTTCTTGTATATTTTTTAATTCAAAAGATTGCCAGGATGTGTTCATGTATTTTGTAATGGTTGTACATTCTGCAATCTGAGGAAGCTGAGAATCTGATGAACCTAGATACATGTTTCTGTGGATGTCCTAGTCTTTATCCAGTTGTTAATAATGAATCTGAGGAAGATGTCTTTCTAATGCATAGCACAACTACATGCTGCTTAACTATGCAGGTTGGGCTAGTTTTTCAACCTGAGATTTGTTGAGGAAGAGCTGGCTACATCCTAACCTGAAAGGTACTGAAGGGTTACTTCTAGGTCATACAAAAAGCAGTAGAAATTGTGCTGTACCTTTTGAATGGAAAGCTGAAGTAATGTTTTTTTCTCAGGCTGATGACTTAGCAGGCTTCTAATCTCTGTGAGCTCACAAACATGATTTCTCTAGGTGCCATGTGGCACAGGAGCATCTGGCCTTTGCAGTGTTCATGGTGTACAGGTCCATGGCTGCTGTTTAAACTTCAGCTCTATACTTTGCCTTGGAGGTGGGGTTGTGTGTATGTGTGCAGGTGCTGTTTGAAGTTAGGACAGGGACAGGGAGAGCTCAGTTAATCTTTTTGAACTCTCCTGCTATGTATGGCATGTTACTGACACATTGGTGGTTCAGCTTACCTAGGCAGCAGCTCTATAAACTCCCAGGGAACTTTCCGAAAATTTGGGAGTTTAGGAATAAACTTCTAAAAACCCATTTCTTCTTTTTTCTACCTGTTTTTGGTTTTTAACTGGCCATCCACAGATTCAAACTGGTTCATTGGTCAGCAGATGGAAATAAAATTTTAAAATTTGCTAGATTTTCCAACATTTTCTGTTTCCATCCACAGATTCAAACTGGTTCATTGGTCAGCAGATGGAAATAAAATTTTAAAATTTGCTAGATTTTCCAACATTTTCAGTGCTAAAGCCAAACAGAGATGAAAAGGAATATTTCCCTGGCTTAAAATGTCTTTTAAAAACTGACTGCTTTAAAGTTTGAAGTGTTAGAACAAGTCCTTGTCACAATGGATTAGTGAACATGGAATATATCAAGCTGTCACCAGGGAGTGTAGGACTTGAGAATGGCTGTGACAGTCCAGACCAGAGATGTGTCCAGCACGGTATCTTATCTCAAACAGTGCCAGCAGCAGGCTTTGAGGGCAGAGTCGCAGACAGGGCAGGAATGCAGCTCTAGCTCCCCTGAGTATTCTCCCCAGCTCCCATGTTTGTGGCTCGGGCATTTTTTGAGTATCACTGTCATTAGTTGCCTTTGGTAGGCACTGTAAATATGTCACAAAGTGCTGCCTGGGCATCTGCCCTACGAGGAAGCTTGCATGTACATCAGGACAGAGCTGATTACTCAGCCTGGTGTGCCCTGCAAGGAAACATGCAAATGTACATGGGTTTGGAGGCAGCAGGTCATTGAGCCGTCTGTCACTGTGGGGTCTGCATCCCCTGGCACTGCTCTATTTGTTGACACTGGTGTGAAGATTCATGCTTATTGTCAAAATTTGAAGATTTTTAAAGAAAAACAGGAAGTTAAAAAAAAAAAAAAAAAGAAAATAGTATGCATAGATGCTACAGCTTTGTTTCCAGGATTTGAATCCCAGACCTTACATACTTTATTAGATTCTTAGTGTATTGGTGAATTCACATTAACTACTGCTTGCAAAGACAGCCCACGTGGGTAGACAAGTTCACAGCTGGCTTTCTCCTTTCCTAGCAGGGACGCTGTGCCAGGGGGAGGATTTGCTTCAGGCTTTTCAATGTAAACAACAACTACAACAACAACAACATTTCATTGGTATTTATTACTTTTATCTCTGAAATACTCCTCTGAAATACAAACTATGGGTCTTGCTTTCCTTTTTGTTCACTACATGTCTGAAGTCCATTTTGTGCTCCCTGAATTGGTGTGAAATATATTTTGAGTCTAGTAGGCAATGTGGATAGGAAGATTCTGCCCTGGTTTTCTTCTCGTTGTACCTTCTCTCTTAAACATAAAGAATTTTACCATCTTTATATGCTGTGTGCACACAGAAAGAAACTTGACCTTAGATACTTTACAAAAAGAGTGCTCAAAATATGACATAAAGGTTGCATTCGCTTTTCAGGATGAGTATAAACTGCTTTCAGTGGTATAAGCACAAAGGTATCAAAAATATGAAAGCTAAATCAGAAACAATTAGCCAAGTCTGAGTGTAGGTACAGGTGATTCCATGTTGAAAGTCTTCCTCTCAGAAGTAACGATGGAGCCAGAAATATCTTTAAAATCCAGAAAGTCTTCTCTAAATGCAGCCATGCTGCATTCACTTGTCAACTGTATGTGACATTTCTTTCTTTTCAGGGCTTACTTGCATCCTAACCCTTACATTGTGCATTCATTTCTTGTTAATCAGGGTCTGGCAAGTCACTGTTTTTTACCATTTCACATTCTTTTGATCAAAAGGTCTTGCATACTGTGGCTTATCACTCAACCAAATCATGCTCACAATGTCTCACCTATACTACATATACTACTAATAGCACTACACTATTTTATTGATTTCTACCCCCCCCCCCCAGCATTTTTTGGTGCTTATCTCTGCAGTATCTGAAGCATAACAGCTTAATAGATTGACAGGAAACCTTCAAGGCAGTGTTTCATTCAGGGTCATTCCAGCAGTAATTTTAAAAGAAAATAAAGCAGCTTTTCTGTCATGATAAAGAGCATTCAGGAGGAGGAACAGAAAAAAGAGAGAAAGAAACAAGAAAGCCACTGTTGCTTACATGAGGAAACAAAAAGATCAGTTGATAGGAGAACTATCACAGGTAGTAATTATTCACAGAGCTATGGGATTTTTCATACAGGCTTTAATGATTAAAGTCTAAGATGTGAAATGGGAGTGGTGAGTGAGTTTTAAAGAACAGTGTCTAAAGTCATATGTTTGAAAATACTAGGTTTGGGTGGTTGTTTGGTTTGGTTTGGTTTTTAAAGAAAGGGCATAATGATAGCTTCTTTTCTTACTGACATTAGCTTGATTTGTGGGTTTATTTTCTCTCTTTTTATAACTATATGTCATATATTTATTTCTTTTCAACTGTCTGTAGATGACTGTCTAAAATAATGAGGATAAATGTTGCATAATGTGCAAACACACACACACAGATATATATATATATAAAATTCTGGATATGACTAAGGAGTAAACTCTTTGGCATTACAAAGCCCTGGACTTTGAGCAGTTGCATGGCTAAAGTAGAATTGAAGATTGCATATGAACAGGAGATCAGACAACAGAGATGTGACCCCAAACCTGAGGACACGGTCAGTGACACCTCCACGAAAGTGTTTTGTATGAGCTCAGATGGGTTATTAAGACACGTAACTTATTAAAACTCTTTGAAAGATAAAAGGATCCTGGCCATTTCTGTCACATAATGCCAAAACCATTTTTCAGCTAACCATATATATTTTCAGCTGTGTATTGTATATTTTCAACCTTTTGTGAAAGTTTGGCTGCATTTGAAAAGGTGCTGAAACACATTCAAGGCCACAGAGCACCATTGGGATTTGAAAACAGTTAAGGAAAGAAATCAAGAAAGCACCACCTCTGCTTGAAGCCAAGTCCTTTTGTAAATTACCCTGCATTTATCTTTGCTTTTTTTCATGTATGAGTTCCTTCTGCAGATCTCATCTTACACTTCCCTCAAACGACCAGGAATCAGTAAATCACAACCTTTACAAGGTCTCCTGTGCTCTCTGAGAGTTTGAGTCTACTGTGGGAGTAGTAAAAACAGCAGGTTGCCTCACTTGTAGGCCCCTATTTGAAACATGACATTGTTATACAGTGGGCAGAACTATCAATCTTCATCTGGAGATTTCAATGTGAGTAACTTAGAAAAATGGGTTTTGTTATTTGAGATATACCTTTTGCATATTCCATCACAATGTACCGAATTCACCAGAATAAAGAGACTAAAAAGTACAGAATGTGGTCAATTAAAGCTAAAACATTTCACACACTTCTGATTCATGGAACCACTGTAAATGAGACAGAATCATGGAGCAGCCCAGACTGGAAAGGACCTCAAAAGATCACCTGGGATTACCTAGAACCCTGTTCCATTGCATCTTGAACACCTCCAGTGATGGGGAGTCCTTTTACCATGTCCCTGGGGCGGTTTTTTGGATACCTGAATGACATCTTAGTACCAGGATATGAATAGCTTGGAGAGGAAGCATTCAAGAAGAAATGCTAAAAATTGCCTTAAGGGGGAAGTAAGTGATTTTTCCTTGTTCGTTTTATGTGTTAGAAGCACCTCAGCAGAGCAGATATGAGTTGTCTCATTACCTTTTGAGTACAGAAAGAATATTTATAAATCATATGCTAGACTTCACATCAGGCAGTCAGTGAGGTAACAAAAGCTAATAGAGTGCCATCACAGCAGACCAATAGAACAGGAGTCAAATGACTGCAGGTAACTTCAAGGAGGTTATGAACTTCAAGGCTGCACTATACACGTTTATTTTTTAATGCAATAACTTAAAGTGAAAAGAGAAAATGTATTGTACATGGTCTTGATTTTAGCAGGATTCCACTGAGAAAACATCCTGCTGTAGACATAAAATTAGTCTGGTTTGACTTGCTAGAATCTGTCTTTTCAGATTACATGGAGATGCTTCTGAGACACAAGAAGTGTTGCTAAGGCAAAATGCATTAAGAATTACATTCAGTGCTTCAGGGCACTGAATAGGCATTTTTTTACCCTTAGAATTTGCTTGCTTGTCTGCACTTTTCACATATTGCACTCAACTCCCAGTTGGAGCTGGTAGTGGAGAAAATAGAGAGGTTTATGTAAATTCTTGATCTCCAGGTAAAGAGTTGATCTTTCTGAAACATGAGGATTAGTTTTTCATCATTAGAAATGAAAATCCGTGCTGAATCTGATATGAAGTGTATTGTGAAAAGAAATTTGTATCTTCTATTCATAGTCTTAGTTCGGTCATAATAGCTACAAGTTCATCAACCAGATTTCAGAACAGCTCCTCTGGAGATGAAGTCATGGACAATTTTTTCTAGAAACCACATTTCAGATTATGTCAGTGAAGAAAAATCTGCAGCAGGGCTTAGGAACCTCTTTGATGACTCTGTGATGTTGAAGCTCACCCAAGAGGAGAAGGCTTAAAAAGATTTATTATCTCTCAAGCTTAGCATATTTCAAGGATCTCAAGGAGGTGAAGGGCCTCTCTAGATAGAGAACTTCTGTCTGGAATATATCTCTTCTTATGCCTGAAGGGCTCAATTGTGACATTTGAGATCTAATTTTGCACTGAAACT